TTACTCTCTCTGTATTTCTCCGTCAAACCTCTCAGAAATGTATTGCTTCCATAGTAGAGCTGCCCGACATAAATCCAAAGTGATTATGAGAATCTTTATATCACGTCTTATGAAAAGTGATTAGAGAAACGGTTCATAAATTCACCTAATTTCCCTTCCCCTTTCGTTCATGTATCTAATTTATAGTTACAAAATTGAAACTAGAAAGTGAAAATTTTCAAGAAAAAAATTTTTAATTGTATTTTTTAGGCCACTGTAAACTCTTTATAGTCTGGATCGGTAGATAAGGTTGGTATGGTATCAAGTTCAACTTAAATTCAGATTACTTTTTTTTTTGTTTTTTAATTCCCAATGCGGACAATCATCATCCAATTTGAATTTGGAATACCATAAGCAATTCATTGCCTTTTTCCTCTAAAATTTGCGTATATCTATAGGACACCCCAAATTGCATTATAAAATTATGAAAAAAACATATAAAATGGAAATTTGGAACTCCATAGTTATATCATCTGCAAAACAATAGTTGGCAACATATGTTTTTAATGAATAATACCTAAAGAACACCGCTACAAACATCAATCATTGACCATCATGATTATATTTAAAGGACTATGGGGTAATAGTTATTGAAGATACGTTACTGAAATTGGATTTGCATGGTTTGGATACAACTGAACCTAATTAGTCTTGTGATTTATTTTCAACATATACTTATTTTTAATCCATATTATTTTTTATATTCTGATCTGTTTCATTTTTGGTGTTACTACAGCGAATCTACCAGCAGAGAACATCTCTGGTTTACTATCTGAACACACATCTGGTGTCTATTTTGGTTGGGCCAAATTGTCTACTCGTGGTATCTACAAGATGGTCATGAGCATAGGATGGAATCCGTACTTCAATAATACGGAAAAGACAGTGGTGAGTACACTGATTTGCTTAGGGCCTGTTATCAATTTTATTTAGGAAGGTTTACATATCTACCAAACAATTCCTACGTCTTTACATATGTAACACCTGAACTTTGTTTACTTTTATATCATATATCTAAGCTTGAAAATGTGTACTTCACTTTTAAAAGTTAATAATAGTGATATTTTTTATATGATAGGAATGATTTGAGTGTTATAAATGTAAAGTTAAAGTTTGGGTGCTAGATTTGTAAATATATAAGAATTGTTTTGTATGTAAATGTCGGTTTTATTTTTTGTTTTTACTTTTATTTTTAAAATATTTTTGTTTGGTGCATGTTCACATGTTTTTTCTTTTGTTTTCAACATAAAAAATATTTTTTATTTCAAATCAAAATATAATCAACAAAACAAAACAAACATACAAAATTGAAGCAAAAAATAAAAATGATCCCATACAGACCTTCTAATTTGGCTGACGAAAATTTTGAATAAAAAATATTTCTGAAGAATTTTGTCCCTGCAGGAGCCATGGCTTCTCCATGAATTCGATGATGATTTCTATGGGGAGGAGCTACGCCTTGTTGTCGTGGGCTATATAAGGCCAGAGGTATTAGGACGAAAAAAGAAATTTTATTTGCCTCCCTATAACATTTTTTTTTTGTTTTAGGCTAATATTACTTTTTTATTTTTCAAATGTAGGCTAATTTTCCATCACTTGATAGCTTGATTCAGAGAATCCGTCAGGATGGGAGGATAGCAGAGAAAGCCCTTGAGCTTCCAATATACGCAGGTTACAAAGATGATCCATATTTAAAAAATTCTTTTCAATTGAACAATTGTTGCTAATGGTGGAGATGAAGCAACTATTATTTGGAAATCGTAATCTCTGTCAAATAACTACACCATATTACAACGAGCAAACATAGAATAAAACACTCTTATATTGTTTGCATTTAATAAATGATGAAAAAAGTTGTAACTTAGTACAAAGTAGCTAGTTTTTATTTTAAAAAATTATCATTTATTTTAGGCTTTGTTTAGTCGTGTTGCATTTTATGGAAGGGAAATTTA